AATGTCGATTTGTTTTCTATTATTTTCTAGTTCCTCCAGATATACAGTAAGCGTATCGCTTTTATTTAGGAGTCCAGCAATATTTTGATGAAGGATATGTATACTATTATAAACGAAAAAAGTTAGGGTTTTCTTGCAGGCTTGAATTGAATTTATCTTCAGTGGGACTCGTTAAATCCCCGTCACAGTCTTGCCTGCTGTTGCTGTTTGTCAATCTATTTGTCTTATAATATAGGTGTAGATCGATCTGAATGTTACTCATAATATTATCATAAATATTTTTCATCCCATATTTATTGATTCTACCCGTAGTGTAAGAAAACATGTCAAGTGTTAGATTGAGATTACAGTCGAAGATATAGGCGTATTTATGGTTTTGGTTGTCTAGATGAAGGAGGTTGTTGAACATCTCAACTCTGAAGTTGTGTATAAGCAATCCTGCCCTATACGTAGGAAGACAAATTACTACGTTTGTGTGCGTAATTTTACTAAGGGACTCATTTATTAACTTTATAGTGTTAATGTAGTAGTTTTGATTCGAAGTTATATGATTTTCTCCAATGAAGATAAGACAGTAATCATTTAGCGTGAACTTCTTTAATTTTTCATCAATGCCGCTTAGTAATTGCTTTATCGTACTGTTAGGCATTATGTAGTTACAGAAGTCGAAACGTTCCGAAAATACTTCTTCTATGGAGGATAAAGATCTGTTGTATTTGTTACTACTTAATATGCACAGCTTAATCTTTTCTTTAGAGTTCGCAATCTGAATTTTTGATGGGTCAGAAGCAAATGGCTCTCTAATTTGATGTGCTGTCTCATTACGACTGTTATCATTCTGTGTCCCTTTATTTTGATTGCTGGTTTTATATTCAGGTATCAGTACTTCGCGTCTGGTGTTTAGGTCACTTGGAGAATTAATTTGGCGTGGTGTTTTGTTACGTATTGATGCTTTACTTTTTTTCTCAGGCGTTGAGCATATTTTTTTGTAAGCATTGCAAGTTGTGATCATGTTTTGTAGATCGGTTTTAAGGCGAAGGTTTTCTATGTTTAAATTATCAATTTCTTGATGTGCGCTGGATAGCTGTTGTTTAAGTAAGATAATTTCACTTGTCAATTCACTTTTTTCGTCAATGGTGTCGTGGAGGAAGCTGTCCGGAACACTCATCATTGTAGCATCCAACATAGTTTTTTCGCTATTATTTACCACGTCTGATAAGTCTGTTACGGAGACCGCTCTTCGAGGATTATTCCGATAAGTTATATTATTGCTCTCGAAGTTCATTTTTATTCGATGCAGGCGCGCTCTGTTGTGTTTTTTAGTACTTAGTGACAGTATGGGGGGGGGGGGCGGTGAACGTTAGTTTATGTAGAAATATGGGCTTAAAGAAATCACAAAAAGAATCTCCTTTTGCGGGGATTGAACTCGGTTCGCGTCGATTATCGATGAATGACACCCCACCTAGCGCCACAGAGCCAAATGAGCTTAATTTGAATTTGTGAAATTTAGCACTGGATTGAACAATTGTTATATTTAAATGAGTGGGACGGTTAGAAATGACTCATTTAATCTCAATTGGAATGTTTTACGATGTTGAACTTTGGTCACAGACTTTTTTTTTTTTTTTTTTAAAAAAAAGAGGTATTTCTCTTTTTTTTACATTATACACCTTTTGCACTTTTTAAGTTTTGTTTATTTGAGATTGTTTATAAATTAGATTTTAGCACTGTTATGTTAATGATGCTATGTACCTATCACTGTTTTGTGTCCACTTATTGGTTTATGCACTGGTTTATTTATGTTTCTTTTTTATTTTTGTTTTGAATGTTTATTTTGTGTTGTTTTTATCAAGTATCAAAGATTACTATTTAATAAGTTACTGCACTATATTTCCCGTAACTGTCACTGTTTTTTCCTTTGTTGAATAAGAAAGTTATTTTTGGTTGCTTGAAATATTAGATATAACTGTTGGTTTTTTTGAGATAACACTAACAGATATTGATAATAACTATTTGCACAAATTTAGAGAGATAAAGTCAACAAAAAGTCACTTTTGCTATTTTTTAGTATATTTAGTCGTGGAGCAGTTTCGAACTCAAACCATCGCGCGCGCGGGTATCTTGTAATTGAGTTTGAGTTTGCGACCATTCGGCCACCGAGACAGTCAGTCGTTAAATTTTAACTCGTCGAGTACCGTCATTATAGACACAATTATAGAACAATAGGTTGCGGTCACCGGTGACCGCTTGGTGTTTGACAGTTTAAGCGTGGGATAGCCAATGGGTACTTGCCAACAAGTCAAACTAAATACTTTTTTCGAACTGTCAATAACGACACTTTTCTATGAATTTTGTACTAGATTCTAAGCTTATAATTTCTAATTATAAGCCCAGCTTTCTTCACGATGTTTTCCTTCACCGTTTGTTAGAAGTATATAGCTAGATAATCTTAGAAAGTACATATAACTCCGAAAAAGTCACATTGGTACTTGCCGTTGGTAGGTTTCGAAACCGCACCCTCATTCATGAGAAGCGGGCTTCTTAAATCTCCGGGCCACCACGACATGTACTAATACTGTTTTTTTTCTTTTTTTTTTAAAAAAAAACGTGTGGGGACACTAGGATTTTCTCCTTTGTCGTGGGTGCGTTTACAAACATACAAGTTCACATACACATGACACCCAGACCAGAAACAACAATTTGTGGATCACACAAAGAGTTGCTCCGTGCGGGAATCGAACCCGCTACACGTTGCGTGGCAGCCGGTTGCCGAGCCATCGCGCCAATCGTGCAGTCAAATTAATACATTTTAAATTGTGTAAAAATATGTTTTCCGAAATTATTTCAACTTTTTGTAATATGTGAAATAGAACCCAACCGAGAGCAATTACCACATCTAGTTTTAAAGTAAATAAAAAACAGACACATCTACAAAAGTTGTCACCATGCTCGATAGATGGCGTTGTACAATAACATGATATTCCTGAATCGCGCTATGGTTTCGTTACTAGCGTTTGGTTAGGGTCCGCGATCGACTCTCGGTAGTTCATGTTGCGAAACACATGCATATATATTGTAGTGTCACGACGCTTGCTCAATATAGATAAACCTTATCTATTCTTTTTGGAATATAAACTCGTGGTCGAGAGACCATTGAGTTTTATAGTTAGGTTAGGACTTGAGGTCCGCGGTCGACGCTTTCGACATAGGATTATACATTGAAGTATGTCGCGGAGAACCTAACGAGTAACCGGGGCTCCGGCTCGACGTGCAGGAGAAGGAACGGGGTGGTTTTTAGTCAGTAAGAGTCTGACACTCCCTCCCGCCTCACCCAGGCGGGAGCAGCCATTCGATGATTTTCCCCCCTTAAAAAAAAAAAAAACATTCAAGTATCCGAACATTAGAACAAGCAATAAGTATGTTAATCACTTAGAACATGGTATAAAACAAAGTCGCTATCCGCCGTCTGTCTGTCCCTATGTTTGCTTAGATCTTTAAAACTACGCAACGGATTTTGATGCGGTCTTTTTTTAGATAGAGGGATTCTTAAGGAAGGTTTTTATGTATATTACATGCATATTGCACCCGTGCGAAGCCGGGGCGGGTCGCTAGTAATAAAACGCTATGCTAGTTTTCAATCAACTGAACTTTATTTTAACTCGTCGAGTACCGGTTTTGTAGACACAATTATAGAACAATAGGTTGCGGTCACCGGTGACCGCTTGGTGTTTGACAGTTTAATATATTTGAACATTACTCAGCCGTTCATCCGGTCAGTTCATTCTAATGTTTGTAAACTAACATAAGCGACACTAGATGGCATTAGAAGTAACTATAATAATTGGTTATTTTGTTATATCTATTTTACAGCTAGTCTATATATATACATATAATAAAATCGTAGGAAAGTCAAAACTGTACATTGAATATTTTTTAAAAGGAATACTTGAGTCGTGATCTACAATCGATACCGAAGCCAAAAATATGGAATTACAATTTTTGTCTGTTTGTCTGTATGTATGTCCGGGCTAAACTCAAAAAGTACTGCATGGATTGACTTCAAATTTTGCATGAATATTACTAACAGGTCGGGTCAACATATAGGCTACGTATTATCACGCTGTCATCTATTGGGGAGGAGCTGTGAATCATAATTCCACGCGAACGAAGTCGCGGGCAATTGCTAGTGATATATAAAAAAAAAACAACGTCAAAAAACAAAAAAAAAACTAATAACAAACAAAAAGTAAAAACTAAAAAGCAAAATAAAGTCAAAGCATTTATTACAATTAAACCATAGTTTGGTACTTTTGAAACGTCAACAAATACATAATAAATAATAGTCTGTCAGTCAATCCGTCAGTAAAAATATTAATGTGGATAAACACGCGTGCGTACACACACACGCACACGCACGCGTACGCACACGGATACACATATGCGTGTGTGTGTAACCGATAGTAGTCTTACGGTGGCAGTGGACTTTTGGCCTTTGACCTTTGACCGTACATAATTGACTAGTTACCTTAATCAGGGATAGATTATAGGCATTATTTCGACTGTTGTCGACTGGTGAAGCTAGGTGCTCATTCCAAAATGTAGATTCGAATGGAGAAGAACGAGCAAGAAACGCTTGCGTTGTGTTTCGTCGTGTGAGTGAGGTTACCGTAGGCCCAATTACCCCCTCCCTAGTCCCCGTCTACCAAATCCCCGAATCCTCCACAATTCTCAAATTCCCATTTCCCAAACGGCCGGTAACGCACTTATAACGCCATGGTGTTTTGAGTGTCCATAGGCGGCGCCGATTGCTTACCATCAGGTGATCCGACTGCTCGATTCCGCTGGTAAAAAAAATGTATAAAAATAAGAGTTGTTCCGTGCGGGAATCGATAATCTTAGAGGCTCCAGCTACCGCATCAACCATGCAGTCAATGTTTATATTTTATGTCTTGGTTGTTGTTGTTGAGTGACAAAATCTTTAATTCTAATCTTCTTTCCAGGTGAACTTGGAATACTTAGCTCGCGTGGTCTTCAGTAAGGACCTGCTTCATCCTGACTCCGTGGTTGGCACCGACAGTCATACTACCATGATCAACGGGCTCGGCGTCGTTGGATGGGGTGTAGGCGGTAAGTTCAAAATACTTTGTTTAATAAATTATTATGTTTTCGGCTTAATCACGTGATAGTAACCGGGGCTCCGGCTCGACGTGCAGGAGAAGAAACGGGGTGGTTTTTAGTCAGTAAGAGTCTGACACTCCCTCCCACCTCATCCAGGCGGGAGCAGTCATTTGATGATTTTCCCCCCTTAAAAAAAAAGACAGATATACACTGACCAGATTGGCGATATATTAAAGAAGGGCCAAATTAAAAGTACACTTAACCGACGACCATGCATGAAATGATTGTTGATGAAGCGAAAGAGGTATGTAGGAATCGTAGCAATAAGCGTTCCATATTCTCTGCCTACACCCACGGGAGACAGATGTGAAGTTATGTATGTATGTCGATTGTCGATAAGATAGATATTTTGAAAGATGGAAAATGCGATTATGAAGCTAGCTTTTATAAAATGAATGTTAAGTAGTAATTCAGATCAGTTTAATAAATGAAATGTATATGGCGACTTGTAACAAATCATGTTCTACGTAAAAATATAATATGAACCTATACTGTTTGCATTCATTATTCATAATCACGCCATCTATCGACAAACGGTGACAACTTATCATATATGAACATCGTGCAAGTCGAAGCGGCGTTGACAGATCGCACCAACTTCAAAACAGTGAATTTATTCATGGGATCTTATTACATAGGGTTTTTAAATTACTTACTCTTGAATTCAATTCCGATCGATCGACATTGGTATTGTGAAATTTCGTATTCTTGAGTCGCAACACTAGCGCCCATTGCATTCGTATTGCGTAGATATTGAATGAAGTAAATGGTATTGAGTTTGTCTTTATATTCCGTACTCTGAATGCTATTGTAACAGCTACGATTGTGGTTGTATAGTGTTGACATTGTATAATTATTGATATTTTATTGTATTGAAATTGCATTGACATTGAGATTGGTTTCAAGAGTAAGCTGACACTGTAGTCTAAGTCCACCTGCAAGTCCTGCATTCTTTGACTGCACGGTTGGCGCGGTGGCTGGACAACCGGCTGCCGCGCAACGTGTCGCGGGTTCGATTCCCGCATGGAACAACTCTTTGTGTGATCCAAAGACAGTGATGTGTATGTGTAGTAAGTAGTAAAAAATAATGAAAGAAAAATTACCCAAATCCGACAATTCGTTTCAACGAAAAATGTCTCCAAACAAAAAACAGACATATACTACGAACGTTGTCTCCACGCTCGATAGATGGCGTTGTACAATTGCGTAGTTTTCCTGAATCGCGATATTATTTCGCTACCATCAATTTCGTGAACTTTGAGTACTTCAGCTAAATTATTTATTTTGTCCTTATCAGGAATCGAAGCGGAAGCAGTAATGTTGGGGCAGGCAATCAGCATGTTGCTACCTAAAGTGGTTGGATACAAGCTCGTCGGGGAACTGAACCCGCTAGCCACATCTACTGATCTAGTGCTTACTATCACCAAGGTAAGGTGTTTTTAAATTGATATCATTGACGAATACTGCTCGTTGGCCGAGTGGTTGCAAGTGCCACTGCCTGGCAAGGGGTCTCGGGTTCGATTCCCGGGTCGGGCAAGGTACTACTGAGTTTTTTTTAAATCTGAGTAGTAGCACGTAGCCTGGAATTATGCCCGGTATCGGCTCGCCCCCTATTTCATGGGACTCGTAACATAAATAGTGAAAAGTGGGTGTTACATTGTACAGTGGAATAATATGCACCTCTGTTTACCCCTTCGGGGATAAAAGGCGTGATTTTATTTGTCACTGACAAAAAAATATTTTTTTTCTCGTAAAAAATGACTAGTAAATAGTAATAAATGAATTGTCAAAGGTTCTATTTTTTATGGCATAAGTCGGTAAACGAGTAGACGTATCACCTGATGGTAAGCAATCGGCGTCGCCCATGGGCACCAACACTAGAGGCGTTACAAGTGCGTTACCGGCCTTTTGGGGATTAAGGAACTTGAGGATTGTTGAGGGGTTAATTGTGCCTCATGACTACACACATCGCTGTGGTTGTTTCACTATGGCGGTGTTTTTCAAACTGTGGGTCGCGACCCCTAGGGGGGTCGCGAAGCCTTACTCGGGGGGTCGCCGACTGAAAGAAAAACGTCTCCACCGAGTCCGCGGACCCGCCGGTCAGACAGGCCCCATATGATCCACGTTGGGCGCTGAGACAGCTGGACCGGGAGGTTTTCCTGGAAGCCGCAATTGTGCAGGCCTGGGTGATACCACCGGTCGGACGGTACTCAACGAGTTATATCGCGCGTAGCTTTAACAACTTACCTCGTACTTACTTTCAATACTCTCGCAGCTTCTTGCAGAGTAGACCTGAATAATTGATAAAGGTACCAAAATAGTAG